ACACGTGCAAGACCAGCCGAAAAGTCCAACGAGGGTGACTTCAATGATGCACATCAGAGTGATTACATGCAAGGTAACCAGGATTATTTTCGAAGCACCAATCAGGTACAAAATATACAAAAATCATGTGTCAAACATCAAAATCAAACACAGGATTTGAAAGGAAAACTTATTTTTGCAATTTGTGCTGGAAACTACACTTTCAACACCAAAAACAAAAGGAGACAACTTTGATTCATCTGCTCTTATTTTCAAGAACTTTTCAGAAATTTTCAAGGACTGGAGTCTAAATCCAAGGGTTTTCAAGTCCTCGAAAACAAAAAAAATTAAATACAATGAATATATGAAGTTCATATATTTAGAACTGCGGTATTAGATACGTATGATGCACGATCCTCGCAGTAGAGAGCGCTATTTATGCAAAAGTGAAAGTCAGACCTGAAAAAAAAAAAAATTCATATATTCATTGTATCTGATTTATTATCACGGGTTGATTACGAATCAACTTAACGGCCTACTCCCAGTTGGCTTGTTAGCTCAATTGGTAGAGCACTGCACCAGTATCACAGAGGTCAGTGGTTCGAATCCCGTACTGGCCTGATTTTTTTCAGGTCTGATTTTCGCTATTGCATAAATAGCGCTCTCTACTGCGAGGATCGTGCATCACACGTAAAAAAAATTAAATTCAAGAGCTTTCAAGGACTTTCAAGGAGCACAGGAACCCTGATGTGAGTACGCCCCTGATGCCAAAGTCTTGAAGAGTCAATTTTAGAGTGTGAATGTCTTAGTTAAATTGGTTTTGAAAACCTCAGAAGTCATGATAACTAACACAGATTGCACTGAACTCCTACCAAGTTGACTGTGGATGACCTGATTTGTTTTTTTTGGTCACATAATTAAATTCAATAATTTACTGACTATGAAATAACTTTGACTATGTTAAGGCAGCAATTGAAAGAAATTGGGATCAAAAGAAAACAGTTCTCAAAACTCACACAGTGGAAGCATATTTTTTAAATCTCTCGGTCTTAAGAATCCACTCTTAGATGGTTTGAGAGTTGTTTGAGTAAAACTTGAGCAAACTTTCCTCAAACCTTTGCTGTTTAGGGTGGAATATGGAACACATTTTCCTAGCTTGGGGCAAATTGCACATGCTCTGTAAGTGATTTAACCAAACAAAAAACCTGCAAGCTACAACTTCCCTCTATCCCCACCTCTCACTGCACAAAAAACACAAAAAAATTTTTGGTAAATACCAGGGGTATTGGTCAGAGGAAATATCAATTAAAACAGTACCAAATGCAACAAGAATGAAATTTACCATTACCAGTATGTTCATTATGTTAGTGGTTCAATACCTGACCATGGATGCTTGAACAATAACAGTTTCAACATGACTATCCTTTTTCTTGGATCCCTTGTCCCTTTTATCTGACTGAATTCTGATTTCGTAGTTGTATAGTGCTGCTGATGGCCAGTTATACACTAGCTTCTCCTTCGGAGATGATAGCTTTGGAGAAGTTCCTTGAGAAGTCTTTGTATCTCCTCTACTGTTTTCATCATCATCAATAATGACAATTTCACCCACAAACCCTTTTACTTTACCAGTATTTGGTGTTTTGGGTTTTGGTGACTCTGCTACAGTTCCCTTGCAAGATTCCTTGCTCCTTGGTGATGTAAGCTTCTCCTCATTGCCTTTCTTTGAGGAGGGTGTAGATGCCTTTTTTGCAGCCTTATCACTAGTAGCTTTACCAGATGGCATGCTTTTTCCATCTGATGAAAGCTTTCTAGATTTGCTAGGAGTCTTTTGACCTGAACTTTCCTCACTTAGTTTCCGTGATTTATGTTTTGACAGAGATTCGTCATCAACACTCTTCCTTGGTGATTTCACAGTGGGAGATTTAGTAAACTTGCCCTCTGAATTGTACTTTTTAGATTGGGTAGATAAAGGCTGGCTGTCTGAACTACTAGAACTATTTTTCCTTTCCTTAGATGGTGTTCGATCAGAACTGCTGTTACGATGCTTAGATGTGGGAGACTGTAAGGTTGCTCCAGATTGGCTTTGCTTCCTTGATTTTGGAGAGAGCAGTTTCCCTGGCTTCAATCCATCACTTAGAAAGCTTTGATATTTAGTTACATGGCTTGTTAGCTCATTAGGGGGAATTACCCTGGTTACAATGCCTCTCTTCCTAATAAAGAAAACACAAAACAAATATGTCCATCTTAACTATAAAATTTGAGTTCTTATTTTAGTAAGTGGTTTGGTAAGACTAACCCCTTCACTTTCAGAAGACTGTGATCAATGTACAACCTCTTTTAATAGTGCAAACACACTGTAAAGTTAACAAACAGACAGGACAGAAAAACTTAACATCTAGAGGATTAAGAAACCATCTTGCACCAACATCTCAGCAATGATATGCAAGGAAGTGTTCATACAATGCAATTGGTCTCAAGACAGAGAAGTCTGATTACATCTCAAGAGTTAAGTTTTTGATACTTTTTATGTACCTACACACTAATACACACATGTAAGAGCCATACCCATCCATTCTTTCAAAAATATTTTGATACCAAGGTCCATCAAGTCCAAAACTCTAAGGGAAATTACTGGACAAGACTCTACAATAGTTCAAAGAACACAAAGTGGTTGAATCATGATGTGGTGACTCTTTGGTGGGTAGTCCCAAAACCGCTGAAAAATCACTAGTCAAACCAGTCACCAAACAATCCCAAATTCTCAGTATGGCTCAGTCTCCACAAAATTACAAATAATGTATTTCCCTGAATAAGAACCAGTGCATTAATAATCACCTTCCTCCAAGTACAGTGTGTAAGCACCAACCTCCTCGGCCAATATATCAAACAAGTGCCCCCTTGAATAAGCACCTCCCCACCTCCTTCCTCACTTTCTTATAAAGTAGAGATACATATGAAACCTGTTTCTTTCACAACATTGTTTATAATTCTTAAGCTTCAAATACAGGACAATAGATTTTTCTCTTTTGGAGTTATTGCTTTCTCCATTTGCTACCATAGTTCCTTTATTTTCTTTTAGTAGTTGTCTTGCTGCTGCACTATCTTATCAAGCACCCCTCCTTTTTTAAGTATGCCCCTGAGATACTTATATTCCAAGAATTATGGTAATTAAACATCTAAAAAACAACTGAGAATTAAAAAACATATTTATATATTGTTAGATATTGCCATGTTATAGTTGCAACTTGTTTGTAAAACTTTCCAATAACCCATTTACATCAACAAAACATGTTTAGCTATTTAAAGCAGCTTTCAGTAAACAAGAATCAGCAACAGAAAACTGAAAGACTAAATCTTACATAGGGTTTAAGTAATCACTAACTTTAACAACAACAACAACAGCAACTTTTATTTTGACACAATGGTAATTAAAGCGTTGCCGCTTATGGGGTCGTGCAATTAAACTAAAACAAGATAAAAATATATTAAAATCGTCTCAATAATATAGAAAATCATTATCATTATTGTGAAGTATTGTTTGAAATCCACAAACATCAGTTTAGCAACTTTAATGAAGAAGATAATTTCAAACTGTGTTTAAAAAAACACAGCAAGACTAGAAAAGTCAATGTACAGGCTCAAATTAAAAAAACAAAGGAAAAGTTAAACAAACAGAAAAAGCCAACAACCAAATAACTCAACCAGAGAGACAATAAAATTTTCTACAGTTTTCATGAAACCAAATCAAAAATCCAAAAAGACACAATTAGATAATGACCATTTCAAAACAAAAGATTTTATTAGGTCATAAATCTATTATTTTTATTGATGTGTTTCTTTAATCTGCGTTGAAACAAAAATTACCAAAAATTTCAGTATTTAGAAAGACAAGAAAATTTTTAGTGGAAAATCCTCCCAGTTTAATAAAGAACTGAAATGACATAACTTTGAATCTTTTCCTGACCCTCAAGTCCCATTGGTCATTCTTATTCATTAACCATAAATAAATTTATCAGCATTATAATTATCATTAAAATATAGCATTATCATTTAACACATAATAACTATTACCTGATAATAATAAATCATCAATAAAATAAATATCTTTTATGATAATTAATTAGATTAAGAGAAATATCAGAACTCTTGCAATAGCCCTTGAGGCAAATTATTGAGAAAATTTGCTTCTTAGTGCAAAAAAACTATCCTTAACCAACTGTCTGCAAACTTCTAAATATTTGAGTTGATAATGTTACAAAATTCTTTCAAAAAGTTGAAAAAGTGTCAAAGTTACAAAATGTAAGATAATTTATGACAGCTGCCACTCAAAAAAGTGAATCATCATTTCCAAATGTTAAGAAACTCAATGTCTCAAAATTCATCATAAATAAAAACTGAGGTACTTCACGGGCTGTCCACTAAAACAAAATGGCTGCCTTCCTTGTGCTAAGTAAAAATTTCTTTGAATCTCCTTCAGACAACATCTGGGAAAAATAACCCCCCAAACCCCACCCCTGCACAGTTTAAAGCCCCACAATTATCTCATGAAGAGGAAGAGGAGAATTATAGAGAGAGAGGCTATATTATAGCTAGATCAGTATTGTCTATGACGAAGATGCCCGCTGGAAGGCATGTGACGCTTTGTACCTCGCGACGGTTAGGTGCGATCACCAAAAGCAATACAATGCAAAATTCTGCCCCACACCCCTTAAATGTGATCCCATTTTCCAAAAGGCACTCTTCGAAGAGATATAAACATACTTACTTGCTCGAAAGATAGTGTATATCAACTTCTTCGCCTTCCTGGTAGCGATCTTTCAGATAGGAAAACACTTCATTGCATAAATTAGCTAAACGACCACGTTGAGTGTGGTGGACCAGAGTCAGCGCCGCTCGCTGGATGGGCTCTGGGAGGCTATGGACCTGCTTTCTAATCGATCTTTCCGACTCAAGCGCCTCTTGGTAGGTTAATCCACTCTTGTTAGTGTATTTACAGCTCCAAAGAAGGCTGCTACACAAAATTGTCCGCTCGAAAAATGACCTGAAACGGAAAAATGGCGGTGTCTTTCAGTAGTACGTGAAACCGTGAACGTCAAAATGAATGAGAGTAAACCGGATATAGAAATACTGCAATAGGGATCACAACTTACCTGTAATCCCGAAAAACTTCATTTGTATAGCGACAAACAAAGACTTCTTCGTCAGGTTTCAGATCTGAAGGCAGTTTTGTCGGTGAAAACGGTTTTCTGTTTAAAAGAGGCATGAGCTGCCAAACAGGGAGTACGGTGGTCGACCGCGAAACTCTCCCAACACGCGCGTTAGCCGGCCACGACTTCTTGTTAGAAGAGATCCGAGACCTTAGGTGAATTATCTATATAAGAACCCGAGCCAAGCTGTTGTGGCTAAGAGAAAGAATCAAACCGTTTAGGGCAACTGAGGAAATTTCAGGCCGGTCACTCAGCTCGTGTGCTCGTTGGGTCCCTACAATGCCGTGATGTTTCAATAGACTTCCTCCAATACCATCTAGTCCACGAGAACTGAGATGCCCATTTCGGAGGCCATTTATTCCAAATGCACCGACTCGAATTCCACCAAAATTCGCCAGAGTAAACTACCTTTAGTACTCAGCAAGGTCCCAAGTTCTGAAATGGATAAAAAACTTTACTATAGCGAGATTTCGCCGTGAAAATCACAGAAAAATTTTTGTAGTTCTCTTAAGCACATTTGAGTTTTGCGGGTCTCAGGGGCCGGCTTTTGCTGTAAATATCCCATTTGATTGGATGAAAAGGCGTTGATTGACATTCTCGCGGGCGCTAGCAAGCCATATTTGGTGGAGATTGCGTGATCTAGGTCAGCGGGTTTATTTCAATATATGAATTTCCGATGCTTCGACTTGGCTGCCATCTGCAAACTTTGCTTAACAAAGGAGGATTTGCTAGGTATTTTAGCTTTTTCTCCTTTAGTTTTTATTTCTCTGGACATGGAAATAATCTTTTTAGTCCTCTTCTAGCTAACCTTGTCGATTACCTTTGAAATTTCACCTGAGTTCAACTCTCATTTTCATGTAATTTGGGACTTAAAGAACGTGAAGTTACGTACAAATTATACACGCGAACTTAAAAATTTGATTCTATAATTTTCTTTCGAGAAGCAAAGTAAATAAATCATCTTTTAAGAATAAAAAACGGTAAATCATTACAAGGTCTATGCTTAAGTAGGTTTATCATTTTGCTATTATTTTCATTGTTTGATTCTAAACGATACTTAATCGCGATCACAAACTTAACAACTTTGTAATAAGTAGTTTTATTATTAAGATCACGATGACGTTTTTCTGTTTCTAGTTTTTAACATACCTCAGCGGTTTTCTTTTAAGAAAATGAAACATTCGTCTTCCTTGTCTACACCCGCTGTAATTAAATTAATTTAACACGGAACACGCGATACTTCACACCTGTGTTACCTACTATAATAAACTCAGATGCTTTCTCGTGGACCCAGGCACACGCGAAAAATGACATTGCCACTGAATTCTTTTTCACGAGGACTTCCTATAATTCCTTTACTTCATGACCAGAATATTGCAAAGAGTTTTGTTACAAATTCTGAAAGTTGTCAGATTTCAAACAAAATATTTTGTCGTGCAATACTTCAAGGCATATCTACACTTAAAAATAATATATCCTAGGCAAAGAATGATCCAAAAATGGGTGAAGCTCCACTTTTATCAGGAAATTCAGTTTCCATTTTCAAGCCATAATTTGGATAGTATTTGGGAGTTGCAAAATTGTTCACTCAGAACCTCTTTCTGTTACTATAAAGGCTTCAAAGACCATTACTATCCAAATCGAGTATCTTCCTGTGGAGTTACGTTTCATTTCTTTTCATTTAGAGCTTCTAAAAGTCCATCTCAATATTGAGATGGAACAGAAAAACAATTCTGAAAGTCTCAAAAACTCATGGCCAAAGTGGTCAGGAAGTTTGCAGTTAATTTCAATCTTGAGGCATTGTTTGCTGACATTATAGGTGTGCATAGTAGGATATTCAAATATAGTTATGCTATTGAATTTGGGTACCTGAATGTATCAGCTATGTTTTAAAACTCTATATTCATAATGATACAGACTTTTGTTTATCCATACTGATATTTAACTTAAGGTAGTGCTGTCCTATTTCCCAACTTTGTATATTCCCTTGCTGTCTTTGTGTCTTTGATCCAGTCTGCAGAATACAACTTTTGAACATTGCAGAACAGCAGTGAGGTCTGCAACAAAGGGAAGCAATCGATCAAGATGGCTCAAGAGACAACAAATGGTAAACTTACAATTTATTGAGATCATATATAAGTGTTTGATATTTTGTCTTCATGCATTGCCCAAGTTACAAGTCAGAGTAATTTATTGATCTACCAGGGTACACAAAGTTATGCCTTTGGAAGAGGTGATTTTTATCTGTACTCTCCCAGAAATCAATATCCCTATTTGAATAACAGACTCACTCACCCAACCCACTCCCTATTACTTTTGTTGGTAACAGTTCAGCAACCTAAATGGAAGTAGTTATCATGGCTAGATAATTGCCATGATGTTATCATTAGTGTTCAAGGCTCATGTTAAACATTGTAGAGGTGATGGGTCAGTTTTGGTCCATCATTGAAGTGACATGCTTCAGTTTAGTTTGTTGGTTTTGTTGATGTCGTGAATAAGTCCTTCACATGATGTAGGTGTTTCTTCATGTGTGTTTGAGAAGTCTGTTCTTCGTTAGTGAGTCAGATTTCCAAATTTGGGTCATGGTTATAAATTAGGTTTAGTAATCAGCGACAAAAGAGCATTTCAGGATGGCCTTTACCTGTACAATCAGACTACATTATCAAATATTGGATAAGGTACAATATTATACAAATAACCAAGTACATTTTAATTTATACTATCTTAACACAGGATTTTTTCGTGAAAAGGGCTCACAAGGACAACTATCGCTGTCGGAGTGCTTACAAATTGATTGAGCTGGATGACAAGTTCCACTTCCTTCAACCAGGAAAAGTCGTGATTGATTGTGGTGCAAGCCCAGGTATAGATTTAATAGCTTTGTAATTCAGGAGCTGATTATGATAATATTCTGTGGAGTGATTGATCTTAACTTTGTGTTCAGGTTCTTGGACTCAAGTGGCTGTAGACAGAGTGTTACCACACAAATCTGGTTGGTACTCCTAGTCTAATGGCTATTTCTATGCATGGAAACTAGTTACATAGCAATGGATGATAGAATTTAGAGGTCTCATCTACATGTAAAATAATTTTCAAAATCCAGGGCTTTATTTGATATAAGAATTGAGAGATTTTAATAGTGTTGTAATGTGGTGGGAAGCTTTGAAATGGGGGTAAAATTGTACAATCACACATAGGAATACCGCTAATTATTGCTGACAAGTACTCTATCTGATTTTGAATTTTTAACAGGTCACCAATATGGTGCTGTGATAGCTGTGGATTTACTAGGTATTGAACCATAAAGTAAATGTCAAGTTCATCAAAATGTTATTGTATGTTTCAATTTCAATTGATATATGATAACTAAATATAGGTGCATTATGCATACATTTTGATTTGTTCTTATTTGTAATCTGTTGGAGGACAGATGCATAGGTGACATCACCATTAACAATTTTTCTTCCTATTTTGTCATCTTGAACAAATAGATTCCATCTTGCTGTGGGTCTGTTCAGTAATGGACCACAGAAGACTTCAAAATGTGATAAGAACATCATTCTGTGTCACATTCAGCTGTACTTTTTGTGTCACTTTTTGTTCATACATGTACCACATATTGACACCATCTGTGATCTATTGCCATGCAAACAGAAGCAGAGTAACAAGGAATCTATTTGTTAAATATGCTAGCAGTCATTAGATGACTCAGGTTGAACATTATGTAGTATCCCGCCCGGATGGTTCGGATCTAACCAATAACACTCGGATTAAACCAACGCACATTAACTTAACAGTTTAATGGTGGACAACATGTTCTAACAACAACTCTCGCACGCATGCGCCAATGGGTAATACACTACACATTATATCATAAATTATGAAAACTGAGGTCTAAGTTATCTGCAGATGTTGAAGGCTGAAGCAGATAACACATTCACAAGGTTTGATACTTTGTGATGTTGTGCAAAAACAAAATTTAATAATTGTTCTATTATACATTTTTAGGTAATCTGCAAAAGAAGACACTTCTCTCTGAGTTTGCAAAAGTTTTAGAACATTACAAAGAAAAGTGGCTTGGAACTAGGCAGACTTTGAAGTTGACATGATGGAACCCAATATCTGCTGCAGATATTGGGTTATCATGTCAACTTCTCATACCATTGTATATTAATTGAATGTCCTAGACCAATCAGATTTTTCATAGTAAGGCTAATGGATAAAAATAATTTGCCAAGTATTCTTCACACAGTCTGATTATCACATTCAAATGCATATTGCTGTCTCAAGCAGCCAACAATGTCAATAAGTTTCCTTTGCCTCTTGGTATTCCTAATATTTAACAATTATTCGCCAAGGGCAAAGTTACTATTTAGTTCTTATTAACCAAGTGGGAGGTCTGTATGGGAGAATCTTGACTGAGGTCACTGGTACAGACTGAATGCAGTGAGGTCTGTACCAGCAACCAAGGTCAAGATTCTCCCATACAGACCGACCTAGCTCGTAGCTCGGTTAATAAGATGTTTATTATATGGCTGTGTCTTATATGCCAATTTTTTATATTCTTTGTACCTTTGTTTTCTAGACCGGTCTAGATGCTGGTCTAGATGGGAAAATCTAGACTGCTTTCAATATTGATTCCAGCCAATCAAATTCATGAAGTTGGTAGTTCCCAATCCTTGTGAGACACAGCCATGTAATAATGTTGAATAAACCTCAAAATGAAGTCTAGGGGATTATTCAACAGGCTAGGACAAAACACTGACCCCCTACTTATCCCCCTTACTAACCCCCTCTTAAATTCACTGGAAATCATGAATTGAAGCTAATGATAACAACCTAACGATACAGAATTACGATATAATAATACACTCACCTCTTAAATTCCAAAATGGCGGAAGATGGTCGATCTGTTTAATGCCTATAGTTTGTCATTGTCCAAACTTGTTTTACCACAATTGTTAGTTCTCCTACACTCATAAACGAGTGGCAAATGTGTCAAAACATTGTGTACTGCATTGTATACGTTTCCACCAAAAAGGATTGTTTTTCTTTTACCAAAGTGTGAGAAACCAGAAGTTTGAAGTGTTTTAGTAGTGCCAGGTCACGCTCTAATTCCCATGGCGATGGCTTTTCCTTCATTTGTTAAGAGGTTTCATTTCTTTTTGTTTATTTTTCTTTTTGGTGGAATGCAGTTCCTATCTGCCACTCATTTATGAGTATAGGAGAACTAATAATTGTGGTAAAACGAGTTTGGACTACTTGTATGGCAGACTCGTGGTATTAAGCAGATCGACCATCTTCCGCCATTTTGGAATTTAAGAAGTGAGTCTCTTATATCATAATTTTGTATCGTTAGGTTGTTATCGTTAGCTTCAATTCATGATTTCCAGTGAACTTAAGAGAGGGTCAGTAAGGGGGGCTCAGTGTTTTGTCCTAGCCCTTATTCAACATTGTTTACTGAACCTTAAAGGCAAACAAATGTTTTAGTGTAATTGCTTATTAGGTGCTTTGGAATTTTGTTGTATCTGTTTAAATTGTTTTGATTTCCCTCAACAAGATAAAAAGCCAGTTTTCACTAGAATTTAACAGGTTCATTTCATTAAATCAGTAATAACTTAATATCTTTCTTTTGAAAAGTGTTCCTTCAAACTTACTTAGCATCTTATGTGCTCTTGTGAATTAAATTTTCTTTATTGTGTTCATTAGTTCCTAGTCAGTAACACTGATGAAACACGAGACAGCCATTTTGATATTTAGCCTTGCTACAATCACCTTGGACTGGGTGATTACAGCATGATATGAGGCCATCCTTGACCAATCAAAGCTTGCACATCTTTACAATCATGAGAGCAGTTATACTAAACCATTGACATTTTGGTCCATTTGGTCAAATAATGTGTTTTCCTCTTTTATTTTTCTATTTAATGTATTGAAGATATTGAAGACATCAATGGAGCAACTATATTTTCAAGATGCGATTTTACAAGCACAAGTACACAGAAGAGAATTTTCACAGTGTTGCCTTCGTCTGGTGCTGATGTTATAATGAGGTATGTCAACACCACTATGGAATGTTAAAATTACAAACATCCTTGACAGCACCATTTCCTTGTACACCCATGTACGGTACTCATGCTAAATTTAAAATCTTCTTCCCTCTACCTGTAAGTTTTATCAAAGAGAAAAATGTTTCTAAACTTTTAAAATTAGCCTTCATGCAAGGGTTTTAAAGAAATATGCAACACAGAATAAATCTCTCTCTCTTATTACCACCTCCTAAAAGCTGGGAAATTTAAGTAAAATTGTTGTTTATCATGGTAAGGCATTCAGAGTAAAGATAAAGAGGGCTACTTTGTCTGAATTTATTTTTCAGTGATATGGCTCCAAATGCCAGTGGAAACCACTCAATGAATCATGAAGCAATCCTGGTAACTATATATGTAGAAAAGTTGAGTTGTTTTTAAAGCATAATCCCTATCAGGCAAACATCAGCAAGACCTTCCTTAGTGTCCACCTATTAAGGATGTCTGCTGAATACCAGTTGAATTCATTTTGCAAAAGTATAGTGCGGCTGCGGAACTTCAGGTTGAGAATCTGGGGATCAAGATCATTGTATTATGTTCTTGGGCAAGGCACTCTATTCTCACAGGGCCTCTCCCAACACCATTGAAAAGTTTGGCTTTAGTGATTAAAAAATATTTTAAGATAATTGTTTGAAACTTTTCTTTCAAAAAAAAGTCTACTTCAAAACTCAAAAAATCCCTAAATAGTAAGTTATTTTTGTTGTTGTTATCAGTTAGCTATAATTTATTACTGTGAAAGCTGATACATGTATTGTTGAACTTAAATATGTTACCCAAATTTGTTGTCTTCAGGGTCTGTGTGAGTCAGCCTTAGATTTCAGCAAATCAGTTCTGAAGCCCAGTGGGATTTTTCTTTGTAAACTATGGGATGGATATGGTACACATGGTAATTGACAATTTTTTGGTAGCTGTGCTTGATTACACAAAGGATTATTATGACCACAGAATGTCATAAACTTACTAATTTTTAGTGCTTTTTTAGTGCTTTTAACATCTCTTATTAGAGAGATCAGTTGAAAAAATAGAGGATCTCTTACCTCGAACTTGCTTATTATCTGATTTTTTTTCTGTTAGTGGTGTTTAAGCAACCTTTGTTGCAATTATGACACACATGCAGTTGCTCAATACAAGAAGTATTTGAAGTCCAAATACCAGTGGTGTTTATCATCATCTTTAAGAGCAAGTTAAATGGTTTCCTAATTTATTCAACCATCCTATGTATTCTGTTGTCCAGTTTAGAATTAATATTTTTGCCAAAAATATGGACAAATTGCTCATTGCTTTAAGACATCTGAATTAACAGAAAATAAAAATCATTAGTACTCCCTTTAAGGTAACTATCTGACTGTGTAAACCGTGAGTACACAGGGTACAGTCTACAGTAACTTTGATATTAATAAGAAATCTTCATGCCTAAGTTGGAGTTTAATTTTTCAGATTTTATTAGTACATTGGAAGAAAGTTTTCACCAAGTCCAGAAATGTAAACCTCGAGCAAGCAGAAAGGAATCAGCTGAGATATATCTTTATGCAGAAAACTTTAAAAAATAAGGAGGAAAACCCATTGTTTGTATCTAAGATAATACATTTTAAACCAAGAACTCTATTCTGTAGTAAGACCTCTTTTGCCACTCACTCAGGTACGAAGGTATTATCATTGGTTCTGTCCCATTATCTCTACAGAGTTCAGAACTTACAGTTACATACTCTTATGTAGTATGCACTGAAACTGGTCTCACCAACACACGAGTGATGAGAGGAAAAATGGATGCAATTGACCACTTTCATAAATGGCTGCTGGATTAATATTCTTTGTTTAAATTTAAATTAGCCTTTCTGGCCTCATTCTCCAGTTCAAAATTCAAAAGAATACATTATCTCAAGCGAGGCTAGTGAGGCTAATTTGAATTTAAACAAAAGAATATCAATCCGGCAGCCATTTATGAAAGTGGTGTATAGATTCCAACATTTTTAGATTCACCCAAATCAATGTCAGATACAAATCATTGAACATGTTAGTGGATGCCTCTGTGAAATTATAAATAGATGTTTATTGTCTTTTGTGGTGTCACAGAAATAACTGAAAGTGTTTTTTCTTCATATCGACTTCATTTACTGATTTAACAGTAAAGTCCCGTCTCTTCTAAGAAAAAACTTTTCCTTAAAGTTTCATGATGGGCTGATCACACCTATTACGATATTTCTGCAAGGAAAAATTTTCAATTGCAGACAACATTGAAATGATTGTGAGAAGCTTGGCCTCCTACTATAGAGGAGGCAGTAGCTGCAATAAGAACAAGGATGACAACATAATGTATTCATGGCTATAACCCTGAAATCACAAAAGAAGAGAACTCAACTGTGTATCAAGTGTGAATGTCAAACCACTAAGGTACTCCGAAATAAACAATAGTCACTGTGGCACTAAAACATTGGGTCAAAATTGGGTCAAGATTGGAATTCTATTGTTACCATCAATCATTCATTCATTCACCCACTCATCTGGATAACATATGTGGCTTTGCCTCCTATAGGAGCCAAAGCCACAGAAATTGCTCAATAAGGAAAGAAGTTGGCATAATTCTACAGCAGGGCTCATCCTTTGACATATTTCCCCAAATGAGCACCCACCCTGTAATAAATACCCTCTCACAAATAAGCAACCACCCCCAAGAACACAATGTCAAACAAGTGCTCCTCTTCAAAAGGTTCTCCTTATCACTCAATTTTTTAATAAAAGGAAGGGGTACAAGGGAAACCTGTTTCTATTGCTGCAGGCTTTGTTTATAACTTAAAGCTTCATCTGCAGTGGAATCAGTACAGGAGAATAATTAAAGGAAACTGTGAATAAGTCATGGATACATTACATTAATTTTGTGGCCAGTCAATAGTCGTTCTGTGCTTCATGTATCCACATCTAAAATAATTTCCCAGGTATTGCACCTTCTGTACTTAAATTAAGAAATACAACTCAAGGTTCAAACCAAACAAATTTTATTCAGAAATCTGTACAAACTGCATTTAAGATATTCTTAATAAATATTCTACACTGAAATGAATTTGAGGGTGAATAAAAAATAGTTTCTTTTGAAAAAATGTTATAGTTTTTGATACAAAATATCATAGTGACCAGGCCTGTATAATAAATTAACCAGAGGCTGGGACCCATCTTCTGGAAAGTCATGATGATTGACAGATGAGTTCCCACCTCTGTCCATATAAACAACACGCACACAAACACCAAGTGCATCAGTCAAAGCTATGATGTGAATCTGATCACTTTCTTTGGCCATAGGTTCAACCTCCTGTAGATAAGTAAAAAAATGATTTCTTTATATGCAATTTAATGGTCTGTGGTAATTATATAGTATTGTGGTCCCAAGAGGGATTTTTTATTGATTATCAAAGGTCATGACCTTTAGTCCTGACCCTGGTACCAGAGATTATACTGCCATGACAAATGAAAACAAGCATTGAGAAAACACTTGTACAAGGTTAGTTTTTACTGAAGGTGACCATGCATATATTTAAAAATTCCTGCCAGAGGATGGCTGGTTTAAAACTCCTCTTGTTCTCCTCAAGTCTCCTAAGGCAAGTTTCTCCACAGAACCAGTAACTCTATGTACCTGAAAATCTGAATCTTTTTTGTTACAATTCATTCAAGATCAAGATATAGACTAATACAAATTCAGAAAAGATGAAACATAAAGAAACAAAACAGAATGAGCCACTATTTGAGTTTAAATCCCCAGTTTTATTCCTGAGTATTATATTTCAAAATACAAATTCGGACCTTTTAGTTACAGAGAGTTTTGAAAGACAGGCCAATGGAAAAAAAGACACCACAATTAAAATGGCTGTTGTTTTGCAAAAGCACATTCTTGACTGTTCTCAGGTGAGTCAAATGTGATATCTAAACGGTAATTTTTTTCTAACAGCATCAAGAGGGTTTGCCACTTTCACTAGAAAAACATTTAGTTTCTTTCCAAAACCCACTGACAAAAAAAATGATTTTCTAAAACCACAGCCTAATTAAAACTTAGTTTGAATTTGCCACTCGTCAGCTTAACATGCAACATGAACATGTGCTTGTCCAATTACATTTCCCACCAACTTAAGTATCCTATGTGAAGGTGTAGTCTAATCGTCCGGGTGAGTGTAGTCCTGAGAAGGACTGTTGTCGGAGGTAGTGACTGACGTTTCGACAACCTGTGCGGAAGTCATCATCAGAGTCAAGTGA